GTATATTAAGCCTGTTTTATTTATTTTAGGTCTACTTTTTTTTATAACTATGTATTTATAAATTTTTTACTTTAATTCTATATTCAAGCATTGTTCATAAAGTACCTTCTGTTCTTATATTTATATTAAGTTTTTTTGCTTTTAATAATATTAAACAAACTAAGTTACTTTTTTAATCTTTTATTTTTTTTTTTTTATAGTTAAAGTTTCTATTTTGGGAATGCGATATTTTATTCAAGTTTTGTTAGAAAACAGACGCCTCCAGAGGCTCCCTTACATTGGAGGTTACAACTAGCCATACATGCATTTTTAGTGTCTAATTTAAGTAGTCCGCTTACACATTGCTATATAAGTTTTATACTAGTTGCTATACCTGCAAGCTGACTAGAGGTCTTGCCTATTTAAACCCTCTGCATATGCAATCCTTTTTGTATCATGAGAATATCTCAAGACTACACTCATCCAAGTTTCCGATGCTTATCATTACTCTTAGGACTACTTTATCCTTGATAGAAAACTTACTAGAGCCTTTATGTCCTACATATATAAATCTAGTTTTATGCAACATGCTATAGTTACCTAACACTTGCAGTCACAGGAGTTATCTGTTTAACCACTATGTTACACTATTTCTACTTTTGTAAAGTTTACTAGAACCCCAGCATCTATCTTTTTAGCATTTTTTCTATCATTTTTTACTAGCCACAACTCAGAACTGTCAGTCTCATTCCAGACTACCAATTCAGATGGCCTGGTATGATATACTTATGTATTCTTTTTCTCTAATGAATATGGCAGCCTGGTTGGTTATATGCTTCTCTACTCATATTTGATATCTGGTTTTAATTTTCAGTTCCTATGAAGGTGTTTCATAAGCTTCAACTGATCCAATGATACTGTCAAAAGTTTATGATACCTTTTTACTCAGGAATTTCCAAGTAGGTTTCTGTTACCTTAGTTCCTTAGTCTTTTATGACTGATGGTCTTATCATGGATTTGCACTGAAGTTTTATACAACACTAGTTAATATTCCTTTATATATATGCAACATTACACTTTGCATAGATGTCTGAGCTCCCAAAGTCAGAAAGACCTGACCTGGTGTATCTAGATAACAGCTACATAAGGCCAACTGATCAACAGATAACAGTTATCATAATGCAGATATAATTTCCAAATTTTGTCATAGGTAGGATTTGAACCTTAGACCTGTCACTTGGAGAATGACAACCTAACTACTACACTAGAATCGCCATCCTCTTTTTTTAACCTTTTATATTTTCTAGCATCTTTTCTATTTTCTATATATTTTTTGTTAATTCTGTTCTTTGATAGCCTTGTATTATTCTCAATTTTGTTAACTATTCAAGACTATCTAATCTGTTTAGTCTTGCTAATAGGTCACTTATTTGTTTTATTAATAATTTTTGTTATAATGTTCTATAACTTCTAAGATCTTTGTATTCCATTATGCAGTTATCTAATGTTCTTTATAAGTTGCTTTTTTGCTTTACCAAACTTATTATTAGTTGGTGTATTTTACTTATACTTCTTTTTAATATTTTTGTTAATTGTAACATATAACTTAATTTTAATATTATTATTATATTGTTTATATATATGATCTGACTTATTGTTATTTTTTTTATCTAAGATCTTTTACTGTTTAGCTAATTATTTCTTTTGCTTTTTTTTTTACTAACATTTCACTCATTCTGTTATTTAGTCATATTCTAAATAAGTGAATTATCTTATTCTTTGACTTTTTTATTATCTTGCTTTTTCTAAAAATTATTATTTTTTATTCTTTTTTACTTTAGTATTCATTATTAACAACTTTAATTTAATTCTGTTTATCTTTATATTATTTATTATAAAGAATTCTTTTGTTATCTTTAATATCTTTATTAGTTGTTTTTTACTATTTGCAATCCATGTTGTATTATCTGCATATCCAATGGTCACTTGGCAATACTTTGTAATATTGTTGCATTGTATATCTTTTTTGATTTATTGCTTTACTATATAATCTAAGCCTTAATCTTTTTATACTCTTTCTAATAGTAGGTTATAAAAAAAATATATTAATAAAGATATTATTTCATCTTGATCTATGTTATCTTCTACTATTATTTCTTCTATTAAACTATAAGCTATAATGATTTTAAGTTGCCTTTCAATTTTTTTTTTTTTTTTTTTTCAGTATTAAAGTGACCTTTTTGGTTCAAGCTTTTTATTAATACTTATAGCGGGTACATGTTTTATATAGACATATCTATAATGAACTATTAGATGAGTATACAATTGGCTACATGTGTAACTTTTCTATATTACCTATTTAAGGAGTCTGCTTGAGAGTTCTCTACTAGTTGCTATACCTAACCTTCCTGCCTAGGTGTTCTATTTAAACCTTCTAATCTAACCCTAGTATTAATTTCACCAGGTCACAGACCCAGATCTATTCACATTTGACCATAGAACTATAATTCTTAGACTATTTTTATTCTCAAGATAAACCTACCAGAACAAGCTGTATTCTCTTTTACCACTAACCTAGTTTGACGTTATGGCTGAGGCCAACACTTGCAGTCAGAGTTACCCCTTAAACTGCTATTATCCTTGTTAAGTTCATCCAAACCCTGGTACCCATCTTTTTGACTTCTTTTCTATCATTCTCTACTAGTTACAACTTGGAACTAACCGATTTACCAGACTCCCAATCCAGATGGCCAGGTATGGTATACTTATATATTCTTTTCCTTCAGCAATTCTGGCAGCCTGGTTGGTCATGTGCTTCTCTACACATCTTTGTTATCCGGTTTACCTAATCAGTTCCTATGAAGGTGTTTCATGGGCTTCCATCAGTCCAATGGCACTATTAAAAGTTTGTGCTACCTCTTTACTCGGGATTTTCAAGTGAGTTTCCATCTCTTTGGTTTCTTAGCCTTCTACGTCTGGTGGTCTTATCATGGGTTTGCCTGAAGCTTTATATGACACTGGTTTTACATTCTTCTATGTACATGTAATGTGTAACATTACACTTTGCATAGATGCCCTAAGCTCCCAATGTCAGGTGGGACCCGACTTGGTGTACCTAAGATTACAGATGCCCAAAACCCAACCAATTGGCAAGAGACAGTTTCCATAATACAGGTATAATTTCCAAAATTTGTTATCCATAGGAATTGAACCTTAGATCTGCCACTTGAGGTTGACAACCTATCCACTTCACTAGGTCACCACACCCTCTAAGTTGCCTTTTATAAAATAAGTTCAAGATATATTTTATTATTTTTTTAGGTACTTTGATTCTTCATAATACTAATTCTAAACTCTTAAATAGAACTAAGTCAAATACCTTTTTCATGTCTTGTAAGAGTATCCATACTTTTTTACTCTTTTTTTTTGCTTCCTCTATTATCATATTCAGAATGTGTACTGGTTGTTTTGTTAAGTTGCTTAAGAAACCTGCATAGTTTGATCTTTTAAGTATTTCTTTTTTCATAAACATTTTGACAAACTTTTTTGTTATTATTTTTGTTATAACTTTTCTAAAAGTTTTTATTAATGCTATTAGTCAAATATTGTTTAGACTATATTTCCATTTGATATCTTTTGATATTGGATAAACTTGTACTATCTTCTATTTGGTTAGTATTTTTTCTATTTCTAGAAAATACTTGAAATTAAATTATCAAAAATGTTAAAATATAATAAAATTTTGTTATTTAATAGAAAAATTAAATTTATTTATATAGAAATAGCAATTGTATTAATATTATCAAAAAGAAATAAAGACTTGTCAAAATTGCACAAAGTAATAGCTATAATGTTTAAGCTTATAGTATTCTTATTATCAGAGAAAATTGTATACATATAAAATATCAAATTGCTTATCTTTTGCATTCAATTTTGTAGTAAATAAGCAAGCCTATGTCTAATTGTTAATACAAGATCTTTTAATAAACTTGATTTTATAAATTTTGCAAGAACAATAGCTAATGTATATCTTGCTAATTGGTCAGTTTAAATGCACTTGTTGTTTTTTTAATAATGAAATTTGATATTCTAGAACAAGTTACATCTTTACCAAGTCTAATGAAGTCACCTATAAAAATATTAACATTGCGGATAATTATAATATTTATACTCAAGCATTCTTATTCACTCTTATTATAACTAATTCTTATTCTTTTGTAGTCATGAATTCAAGAGCTTCATAAATGATATCAATCATTATTAAAAAAAATCACTGATTATTACTTAGATATAACAATAATTGGACATCTCTATTGAAACTGAAGACTAGATAATTATGTTGCAAAATATTGCAATTTTCTATAAGAAATTTTCTCTTACATTGATGTTTTTGGTCCTTAACTAAGGATTTCATAAATTCAAAAATCCAATATTGATGTAAGTTATGATTCTTACATGGATAATTACTAACTTGTATTTGATTTACTTACAACTTAGTCATTTGGCTTAGGCTGTCGCATCACTAGTAATAGGCAAGCATCCTAAGAACTTACCTACAACTTTTGATTTCATGTCAAATATGTAATTATCTAAGAATTTGATAGTCGCTGCAATAAATAAACATTTGACCCAAACTAGTCCCGTCAAATATGCAATTGTTAAGTAATTTGATTGCTGTTATAATTATCCAAAACTAATTCAGATTGAAAAAAAACTTTCTAGAAATTTTGGTTTAAAAAATTTTTTTTTATTAAAACATTTGGTATCATATCACGGGGTACCATCTACGCAATTATCAGATTAAAACACTCCAAAATGTTGCTGGTTTAGTAATCATAAATAAATTAAAGCTTATTACAAATCTTAGAACATAATTATATTTTTTTTTAAAAAAAAATTTAGAATCGTATTAACGTTAATACGTTCAATTATTCGTGACGATAAACTAGTTTATTAAACATCGATTAAATCTTTTCTGTATTGTTCCAATTTTAATAAGCGTCGCTCCGCTATTGCCAATTTTAATTTTTAATCGCCGGAAAAAGATCGTCAATGAGATTATCTAGTGCCGGGTCTTCGGAATTATTAAATTTTTTATTATCTATCGATTGTTCGGGGGCATCTAATTTTTTTGGCGGACAATGGATTTGGATTTTAAGTCTTAATTGCGATGAATAAAATTTTTTCGCTGCGGTATTTGCAATAAGCTTAAAATCCTCTTCTAATTTAGGATTTTGCGTTTTTTGATCATCCCAAATATTCTTAACGTGTTTAGATAAGTTTTCACGTTGTATTCTCAATCCCAATAAAGTTACGCAACCTTGAATAATTTTCCTAAATAAAATGAAGCAGGTTGGGGGGATTTTTTTACCCTTTCCTATCTTCAAGGCGTCGTCGACAGACGGAAACTTGAATAAAACGCGTCTTCCGACATATTCCACATAATATACGGAATTATGTAGTACAAATATGAGGGTTAATTTTTCTACCGTAGATACTGAACGTAGGATGGACGAGAAGTTTGAGGGAAACTTAAAATTCGATGGAAACATTATATTTGGATTCATCGAATTCATTTGAATATTGGATGACACCATATTTGTTCGGGTGTCCGAAGGCATTACGGGTACTGATTGAACGCTTGAAAGCACCACATATTCTCGGCCATTAAATATTAATGACATGGCTGAATCGGCGGGAGGAGAATAAAGAAAAAAGTGACTCTTTATATACAGAATTTTTTCTTAATAGATTAAAAAGCTCAGTTGGATACACTAATTAAGTATTTAAAAATTATAAAGCGCGTATTAATATCGAACATTTAAAGTCTTTTAAATGAACAACTGATGATATAATAACAACACGTAAATAGATCATTTAATTGGCGCGTTTTGTTAACCATAAATGCGCCATTGAACAATAAAGAGATGGCACAGAACATTCAGAAAGAAAATAAAATAGCAATAATAAATGCTATTAGTGTAATTGGTTGGCTAATCATTATTTTTTTTTTTCGATTTGCATCCTTATTAATTACTAGATAGTGACATGAATAAAAGAAAGAGGCATTATGGAAAACAATGATATAATACTGATTTTATTGGTCAGATTTAATTCCACTGCTCATTATAAAGCTCTAAATTCAGTAATCATTACAAAGGTATCTTTTGAAAAATCGATCTAAAAATAGTCTTGTTTATTCTGATCAAATAATGCATTCACGTTTTTCGCGTCTAACTATTGCCAGCATTCTATGGACCAATTTTGGTTTTATAACAATAGATTAATAGTCGAACAACATAATTCAATACATTGACACTTAATTTAGCATACTTTTGATAAGTTACAAGTATACAGTTTAGGAATTCGCTTTGTTTCTCGAGATCACTAGAACTCTACCCCTTAAAATTTGTACATTTCTTATCTCGGCGTCCGGATCTTGTTTCCGTTGAATGGAACTTTTTGCGTGGAAAAATATCGCGACTTTAATTGTGTTACAAGATCTCGAGACAAAACTTTTAAGTAACATAATTTAATTTGGCGATTATGGTAAGCACATACGTATATTTGTCAATTAATCAAAGATAATATTAACAAATCATATCAATGGGCCCAAATTTATATAATATTACATTTATACATTTTATACATCCTACGTATACAAACACGACTTCTCATTCACTTAGATATAATGTAGATATCACTATAATGATCAAAATTGGTAATTTGAAGGTTGCATAAACCATGCCTATGAATTAGCCCACATGCATTTGTCCAATATATGCCCCCCGACAATTCATTGACTCATAAGGAAACGTTTATAACATTTACATTTATAATCTTTTAGATCCGGAGAAATATATTCATATTTATTAGATAACCTTTATAATGTCAGATCAAACTAAAACACATAGTTTACATTTGCTCACATTGCACCACATCCGAACCCAATTTAATATATGAACATTCATAGTTAGGATTATTATTCATATCATTATGAAATTGAGACTAGGCAGAACCTTCCTTAGTTATGGAATAATCCAACCTAATTTGTTATGAATACGTGCGTAGGCGATAGTTATCAAAGGTAACAAGCTTCAATCGAGTTAACTTAACGGTTTTTTAATCAAAGTTTGAAAGCTGAAAATGAAAGTATTAATGCTTAATATTTACGTCGGCTTGAATAAGAAAATAAAACCGATTCTAAACTCTAACATGGATTGTCTCATTCAAATTAAAAAACTACAACCAAAATTACTGTATACTGAATTGATAAATTAAGAAAGAACGTAAGCATAATAAAAAAAAGCTACTTTATTGTAATTCTTTAGCAAATATTTTAAAATTCAATCATGGTGTATATTTAAAGTTATAAATTTTTGAATATGAATGTGAGGCATTAACGTTAATCGATTTCGAAAATCTTTCGGGCTTAGCAATATACGTATTAAACGTTAAATAACTTTGAGTAACTTCAAGCAAATCAACAATATAGTTAGTTGCCTTTCTACACGAAATGACTATTCTGGAAAGTTTTATTTGTCATGGTTAAGTTCGTTACATAATGAATCCCTTTACACAGGTCGTATATAGAAGATTCAATGTAGTTATAATGAAATAAATAGTATGATATGGAAATACAAATTAGGATAGACGTGTCAAGCCTCCAAATATGCACGCTCTACAAATGCGAATTGCACTCTACATTACAATTCCATCTACTAATGACACTTACAAAACTACACTCTCAAAATACATACGGTCAGTTCCGATGTGGTGCATGTATGGGGGTTGACTGTAGTAAGTACGATTTGTAAAAGAAAGATCGAAATTATTCTTGTTATAACCTAACACAAAAAAAGACAATATTAGCACTTGTCTTAATCCAGGTCATTAGAGAAGGTTTACTCAGTAATATTAACTGTACACATGTAATTTCGTGTTAGCGCATATGTCCGAACCTGTACTACCATGCCGTACTACTTTATTGTGCTTGTATTTCTATTTTGTCAAGACCATTACATATAATTAACAAAAGAAAACATACCGATATAAGAATCATTCTATTATTATAGAATCAACTCTGTACGTACTTACGTATAGTACAGTTATTAAAGATATATTACCTGAATTGGAAATTTTTGGTGTCCTTTGATTGGCCTTTATCACGTGACGAAATCCACACCCAAGATCGGCAACAAAATTTTGCATCGACGAAAATCCTTTAAGTTAGTGGTAGGATCTATTTTTGAATAGGATATTAGGAGCTCTAATAGAAAAATCGCTCAAGGAAGAATTTTTGTTAATGCGCAGGCGGTGATTTATTATGCAAATTTTTGAGAAATAGGCGATTTTTGACAAAACGAACGTTTGATTTGAACTCTCCTGATCGTATTACGTTACACCAAATCATGATTAACAATTGGATAATTTTTTGTCGATCACCATTTGACTGCAGAATTTTGTTAGGTAGTTCACACACAATTACGTAGGGATAGATCAGGCCAAGAAACAAATCCTATATTGAGAGAATACCGTATACGATGGGCCAAACCACACCCCTGTCGGATTATGCGGATATTTTTATGGTTCATATCGGATCACAGAACAATTGACTTTACTGGTACGTATATGCACCATTCAAATATCCGCATGACCGATAATTATTTTATGACAGGGGGGTGGTTTGGCCCATCGTATACATTCATTATGTTCATTATATAGAACTGAAATTCAATAATATTGTAACTTCAAGTTCTTAATCGCACGTACATATCCAAAATCTAAATAAATTATTAATTACGAATCTATATAACGGGTAAGATTTTGCTACGTATGAATTTTTTTCAAAAGTAAAATTTATCATAATTGTGTCTAAAATATTAAAATCTTGCATAGCGGTACCGGCAAGCGTTGGGAAATGGGGTCTCCATTAGAACCAAACCCGCTTATGTACCCTTTTATAACCCTAACTTTAAAAAAAGGTACCTTCTAAATTTATATTACGTAGAATAGGTTCAATTCTCAGCTAATCTCTGCTTCAGATGCAATGGCTATTTATTTTAGTAAAGATTCCATGTATTTCTAATCCTTTTTACATTTTTGGCATTAACAGATTTACATTAAGCATGTACATACGTACCTGATACGCACAATTACTTAATATATTCATCGAACCATTAAGGCTTTTTTTTTTTAAGTGATTGCGCTTATTTAAAGGTTGTTATTATATGGCTGAATTGGTATGCTTATAAAGAAAATTGTTAATGACGTGCTTATAAAAGATTATGTAACAAAAAAAAATTCCTTTTTTTTTCTTTAAATATAACTTGAAATGTAGTCTCTAATATTGAATATGGGAAACACGATTAAACAACGATCTGATAGGATAGCAGAATCAATAAATAATATAAATCGATTACTAGATGCAGGCGTTGCCATGGTCGAGGACATAGTCACATGATGCTAAACTTTATCTTTTTTATTTTATTATAATCAATTTATTAACGCACTGGGAAAATGCCTTACTGTTACGCAACTCAATATTTAGTATGTGCATGAACTTCATGCATATTCATCCAACACTAACGCTAATCTTGCAATTAACGCAAGTTTATCAAACGTGTTTTTGACTTGTATTTCTGTTTGATATTTCATGTGAAATAAATAAAGATTACAATTGAACATTATCTTTCATGTAAATATAATAAAAGATCAGAATAAAGACCAATATGTGAACTACAATCAAAGCATGATTAAATTTTCATGTCGTGATTTCTTTTCAATAAACGAATAAAATTCTTGTTACACTGTATCAGATCATTAACGGATTTATCCAAAGTGAAAGGAATACATTTAATAGAGTTCAATTAGTTCCTTTAACATTTACAGTAATTAAAGTAGTGTTTCTTGCTTATCAAATGAATCCTATTGTAAGACTATTTTTGATTTTATGAATGAATAATTTTAAGTTCATAGATGTGTTCCATTTTTATAAATCAATGAAGCAATTTCGGCTATTTTCGATTCTCTTTCGTGATGAATAATTATTAGTTTGGTGTAAGAAATTCTTGTATTTTTTCTAGAATATTACAAATAAGGCTTTCATTAGACATCCGAATATCCTCATTTGGCATGTTTAAAAGTGCTAATTTTAAAGGTCCCAAACTACGCTCCGGACAATTACACCTGATCTTGAGATTTTTTTACAGGGGATTCCCAACTTTCCGGGGCGGATCCAGACCGGCATTTAGCAATATAAGTCATTTCTAGGCCAAAATTATCAGCTGGGCAACTTTACTTATTAAGTGGGCCCGTGACTTCATTAGTAAAACTTTTAGTGATCTTGGGCCAAATTAGTTAATTCCGGCCCTGCCAATCATGATTCCGAGGCATTCCAACCCGGAATTTTGGTGACCCTGTATGTGTATGAGTAGGGTTGCGTTATATAAATTAAAAGTTTTACATTATGACTATGGTCTTAACATATAAGCAATATACTTTATATACGTATAAAGTACTATAATTACTAAAGTACATGTGCAACTTATCTGAGTTATCTATTTAAGAAAGCCACTTAAAAGTTCCTTCACCATCTAATATGTCTGTTTAAGTATTTTATTTAAACCTTTTAATTTTAGGCCTTTGGGCCAGAGGGCATGGCTATATCATGTGATCATGGAAA